AATTGGTATATTCTTCCTTTTCTCTCCCAATTTTGCCCATGTTTTAAAGTTCAGCACAAATTTCAAAGTTTTCTATAACATGAACGTAGGTCATTGTAATGGTTAATCTTGGTTCTCAATTTAATGCATTCTTCAGTCATCCAAGTTTGTATAACCAAAATACATCTGTGTCAGATTCTTCTTAAAGGTTGAATGATTTGATAACACCATGGTTCTCAGACATCTCTTTGTAGAAAAAGTTACTTTTATTCTTGGTGCTAACTTTAGGATTAGGTGTGTCTAACCTGCTGTATTGTTTATGCAGTTTGGGGTCTAAAGCAATATCTTTTCTTCAAGATTGCCATCTGATGATGACTCTCCAGTCCTCAAACTCATGTTCCCCCTTGGTTAAGCATGCCAAGGCTTTCCATCTCTTGACAGACAAAGTCTACACATACCCCGTTCAACAGGGATGAAACTTTTTAAAATTAAGGATCAAAGTTTCAGAGAGAGAAATTCTGGAAGGATAGAAAGACCAAAATGAGAAGGGGACCTAGGAAGGGAAAGGAACCCCTCACTTCTGGAATCCTTTTTAAATCTCCTACCAGCTGAGTGACAAGAATTTTAATGCATCTAACAAATAAGAACATTCTTGAAGATTATAACGATTGCCTGCACAGAAACATTATTTTATCCTCTCCTGTTTTAGAAATATTTCCAAGAAAGTGTTAAGACAGCTAATGAGCCATGCTAAAAGGTAAAATGTATGTGATCTTTGTGTTTACCCTTACTCTTCTATCATCTGTAAACTTGTGAATTTCTGAGAAAAATCTCTCAAACAATATTATGAGTCATCTTTACACTCAGAACATGAGCCCCGACCTCTTTGAAGAAACCATGGTTAGTGAGTTAGTGAGAAAAATATCAAACGGTGCATTCATTAATATAAAAATGAATATAGAATATTGGATTTCTTTTTTAAACAAAAAATAGAATACAGTTATTGGAAAGAAAATTTCACATAGAACACAGAATAGAAGGTTTCTATACAAACAGATATTCTACGCATAGGTAGAAAGATAGAACTGGGCAAGAAGACAAATCAGTCATAGACATGTGGAGTTTTAAGTACTGATATGTTTAAGAAAGTACTTGAGACAAGTAAAGAGCAGGCTTGATGAAGAAAGACCTAAGTTCAGGTTGTGATTGTGAAGGCGAAGTTGAGAAAAATCATTTAACATCTTGGGAGTTCAGGCACTCCAAGTGTTATGTGAGGAAGATAAGATGCACTTCTGAGGATTTAGCTATTCAGTATTAAATAGCTGAATCTAGTTAAAGTCATGAAAGTTGAGGAGTAACAATTTAAGCTATATATTTAAAAATTTCAAAGTTGAAACATTTAGCTTTCTTCCTTGGACTGAAGATCCATTATTTTGCAGTGCTATAGAACAGATGATTCATTATTGCAAGTAAGCACTAAAAGGTCAGTTGGCAAGCCTGCTTCTGAAATAGCAAAAATAATGCCAAAGACTTTCTAGATTCTGGAAATATCTGAATAATTATCTTTGGAACTTGCTTAATTGAAGTATGATTTTTAACGAGCAATAAAGGAATAACCCAAACGAATTTCTAGTTCAAACTTCATTTTCTTATGCCATTCTTATGTGGATAAAGGCATAAATATTTCTTATATCTATCTTATATTAGTATAGTTTTCAAACTTGAAACTCTGTACTATTAAAGTTCAAAATGAAACATTCAAAGACATTGACTCTGATTTAAGCATTCTTGATTTTTATTAGACTTTTACAAGTTACTGAGTGCATGGAAATAAATATTACTACCTTAGGAAAATATTGAAATGGAAAAGCCTGAATATAGCACAGGTTCTCAGACAAGCAGGACTATGGTTTGTGTTCTAGGTTATTTTTATAGTAAATACATTTTATTTTCCAAAGATTGAACTGAGAGATGTTTTTACCCATTGTCCTCACTTTGATTGAGTGAAATCAGTAGATCTTGATGTTTCTAAAGGATATTGCAACTTATATTTGGATACATAATGAGAACTTGTTTAATATATAGTCAAAATAACTTTTGATTATAGTTCACTTTGCACCCCCTTCCCCCTTTATTGGGGTATCCTAGTCAATGCTTGAATGTTGCACTGCAAATATTACAACAGTCACCTTTCCATCTCCCAAATATACTCAAATAATAAGGACAATATCTCCATTGTCTGAACTCTCACCATATGCTTGAGCCTCTCAATGCAAACATGATTTCTTGATTTTTCTTTGTATCACTAGCACCTTGGACAGTACTGGGCACACACCATCTCTTAAAATCTTTTCTTGCAGCATGAAATGGTTTTGTCTTCATACCATATTTGATGTCACTGGAGATACAGATACACCTGGATTTAAACATGCTTTTATTTCACTATAACAATTGCTTATGCAAAAACTATTCTCAATTTGTTTTCATTTCACTTTTAATGCAGGATTTATATTTGTGAAATGGAATTCCTTGCACTAAAAGTAATGTTATATTCAATGTCTAATTCTTTATTCTCACCTTCAAGCTCGCAAGACTTTTACAGAAGGGAGGTCTTATGCATGCCCCCTAGAATAAAACTGAAAGGGAAAAAAAGAGAAATCTCCCCTCAGATTTATATAT